TGGATGGAGAATTCGAAACATATACGGTAAAAAGGTGTAATACCACATGGCCCCATATCCAGTGGCAGTTCACAATCTTCGTTTTATATGACTTCAGAGTGCTTCGACGTTGTTGGTGTGCACTCCGGTGGCTCGATCAACGAAACTGTCGGAGTGATTAGCACGCATCCACATACCCGAGAGAACATGCGTGCTACGCGGCCCATTGATCGGTATGCACAGTTGTTCCCGATAAAGGTTAGTGTGTAGACTCTGATCGATCTAGCCGTTGAACGTAACCTATTCATGGATTCGTTCGTCTTTAGTGTCTTCAAGGTCAGAAATTTAAACGAAATGGTCAGAAGTTTACCTCCTCAGTAAACTTCTCATTCTTTGCTACAAACACANCAATGAATTTATGCACAAATTTTAAACAGCTACAAAATTACTCCCACATAAAAAACACTACAACTAACGAAACTATAGGGTGGGTCCGCACCAGTGGCGTGCGCCGAAAGTTATTTAAGACCTCAGTAGGGAGCAGGGGCGGGGGACATCGAACCAGACAACAGCAGGAATTTTCATTACTACTCTCAGGATGAGTTGGTAATGAGGATCGCAGGCTGAATCACGAGACCAACGCCGCTGGATTTGTAGTAGTAGTGTCAGTGACTGAGAAACATACCGTACCTTTAGGAAATGGTTTTCAACACTAACTCATGCATCTTACCCGAGACTTAACAAAACTGCTAGTGATTGAGGATAAATCGCGAGCAAAGTTTCCATGACCTTTGTGTCAAATGAGATGTTGGACGTAAAGTTTTTTGGGTGCGTTACAAATGACATTCAGCGATCGGCATTTACATGCCCCTGAGTGTTCCAATGAAAAATCATTTTAATACTGTTCACTTTAGACGACGATTCTTGATTACTTCTTCCGCTTGACTACCATCTGAATACGCTCAAGAGAGCGACTGAGAGGAAAACTATCCCAGAAGTAGACGGAGTGCATCCCAAAAATGACCTCCAATTACTCTCTTTAACTTCCCAATCAAGGGCTATACGATAGAACATTAGGGGAAAAGTAAAGAGTGACAATAACATCCAAGTTTCAGTCTCAGCTTGTACAACCGTTAACAATGCACTTTGGTGTGCCGGTTTTGGTTGCCATCTTTTGGCTGCCCATTTGCATGAAGCAATAAGAGAAATACGGTAAGGTTGAAAGTAGAGTCGAAGAGAAAATGAAGAATTTCAGTGGACTATGGTTTCAAAGAAATTGAGAACATGCATGAAAGCCTCTATTTACAACGCTCAGCCATATCTCTTAGTGTCTCTAACTACCGGTTACGATCATCCCGAGATCCCCATCTAGGGAGCCTAACAGGACCTACACGACCGAGTCCCCTGGTTAAGATTTTCAAACGCTTGTGCCAGGTCTTTGTTTGACCACCATTGGGATTATTCCACCCATAACCTGCCTTGGAAAACATCGCGCGCCTCGGCAGTCTATTTGGTGACATACTTAACACGCCCCAACCAACCAACCCACTTGCTACAGTGGGCGACCGCGATTACGTGAAACTCTGCGCTTAACCTCAGCATTGCTCCTCTGGTTGGTTCACAAAATTCGTGCAATGTTGCGCAGACAGCGGTGTTTAAAAACCGACAGTCCATTTCTACCCCGTTTTCATAATAGTCAAGCTACTGCGGCGTGTAGCAGAATGTGGAATTCGAACCGATTACCTGGGGATTAAAATATTTTTCAAGCAAAAAAGCAGTTGACGCCTCACCTTGGCAGAGAATAAGTGTGTTTGGATCCAGTTTTAAGTCCGCCCACGTTTCCTGAGCGACACGTACAAACATATCACCAATAATGCGTCTTTTCTCTTCTGGATTAATGGTAACCGATCCAAGTGGTCCAATCGGGATATTTCGAGTTTCCAAATGAGCTGAAAACCCTCCACCACTCCAGTGAGGTTGTCGTCGAGGGGGAGGTGGCGGTTGTTGGGAGGCAGGTTCTGTGGACTGATTGGATAGGGCTGTTTGACCGTCGGGTTTGGCGTTAATATCTGATTGATGTTCCTCCTTCTTTTCTCGCGAATCAGAGCCAATGGGACTGGCACTGGGCTGTTCAGACTGAGCTTTTGAGGGAACTACCGTTGCTGGGGCCATTGATTCTGTTTTCACTTGAACTTGAAAGGTTGTCATTCCCGACTGGAATCTTAATCGAGCATTTACCAAGTGAACTGTCCAAAATAAAACATCTTCGGAATACTTACCATTAATTTTCAGAGCTTTTAATGACTCCACAACGGCTGTTGACTCATTTTTCCGCATGAAACCGTTGTCAATATGAACTGCTACAATTTGCGCCGGATCAACAGTTTGGGATAACATTGCTGCGCAGACGGTCGAATCAACTCCGCCGCTTAGTAGAACCTGAAAAGAAAACATCAAATGGTCAATTATATGACCACAAAACTATGTAAATTGAACAATACCACCAACACTATCCGTGGTCGCTGGTGATCTCGTAAGGCATGAAAAGTGAAAAGAAATATAAAAGTAAGATAGTGGAATTGGTCGAGAGAAAAATGAGTGAAACTGGGTATCGAGTGTCACACGTGTGTCGTTCAGTGTTAAAAGGCAACACTACTGCCACTGGGTAACTGATATGCAGGACAAGGTCAGAGGAAGCGAAATCAAAATAAGGGACAAAAAGGCTTCCGTGAGAATCCGATGATTAGCTAAGTGGAACGGTGCTGTTAGATCCGTTGACACTCAGTTGGAACAAAATGAACAGTTTCTTTAACTTAAACCACACTGAAATGGCCTAGTAGCAAATACTCATAAAATTGATTAAACAGTGACCACATGAAGGGAGTGATCACGCAGCTTAAGTTTCAGTCATTAGCTGCGGGCCTCAAAGTTCGAGGTTCGGGACCTACTACTACTAGCACCACCACCGTCTTGAGGGCACACAGCTTCCTTGTCCACCGAGCTTCATAATGAAACTATATTTGTCCTATGCGATTAGCCAGTTCAAGTCTTCCGAGCGCAAGTACCCACTATCGGAGCATATCTTCGTCGGTGTAGGCTACGGCGAAGTACGCCGTGCCCTAAAGTCTTGGGTACCCATTTGGAAAACCATCTTTCCTATCTGTCTAGTCCTTCCTCTCAATCCCGAATATTCCCAGGCGCCTCCTGCTTACGAAACCCATCACATAGCACTCAGCGATCAACTAGTAAGGTCAACCACTTAGAGGCTATCAGATTTTTGAAACCAAAATCTCCTTTCCACTTAGCCGCACTCAATGTCCGCACACTCTACCAGATCGGTCAACAAGCCACCTTAGCCAGAACCCTTGAAACCTTCCATTTAGATGTATGCTGTCTCCGAAATACGCATACAAGATCCTACTTCAGTCTTCTCCCTCCGTTCTCCAGATCCGGCCTCATCCTCAAGCTTCACTCTCCGTGTGTCAGGCGATTCGGCATCCGAAGCTCGCNTCGATGCTTATTCGTCGTATCCGCGTATGCACCGACAGATTGCAGTTCACCAGAAATAAAGGATGAATTCTACATGGATCTCTCTCTACTGCTCCAAAGCGCTTGGTCAACGGACATAGTGATAGTCGCTGGAGACCTCAATGCTCACGTGGGATCCCTGGACGAATCAGAGAGGTTACTTGGTTACTTGTAATCCCAACCAACAGGACTGACAACGGAGAACGCCCACTCAAACTGTGTGCTGACCACGGACTGTTTCTGTCAAGCACGAACTTCTCGCA